ATGATTTTACAGCTCTTGGAAGGCGTGGACCATCTTGTTCGACATGGGATAGCACACAGAGACCTCAAGTCTGACAACATCCTGGTTGAATTCGATTCTGGTACGTAGATCCCTGAGGATAAATGCCAATTAACTTGTAGAAGGGATACAGTCATGTGGGTATTCAGGGAAGTCTCACCCAGCTGCGTGGGGGGGGGAAAAAACATCAAACCCTTTGAAGAATCTCAGGTTTAATTTTTAGCTTGGTGTTTGGTGTCACTGCAGCAGTGGGGAAGTCATGAATCCTGTCTGTGCATGAGGTTTTGGATCATTAACATGGACACAGAGTATTGCTGAGGTGATGCATTGCATGAGCACAGCCAGCGTTCACTGGAGCATCTGATAACACCACATTTGGGATGCTGCAGGTGCCTTTGCTTCAGACTATTGGCTCTGTCATCTCTCCCAAGCCAAACTGCACAGAGAGCCTCTTAAAATCTTACTCCATAGCCAAGTTAATTCTGCATCACCCTGGGATGATGAAACATGGGTTGGGAGCAAGAGGAATCGACTGTTACGGCCAAAAGCATCTTTTTCATGGGCTTGTTCTGTCAGCCTCTAACGGAGATTTTAATTACCTGAGCTCGTTTTCAGTGTGATTGAGATTTAAATGGGCGGGAAGCAATAGCAGGCAGGTCTGTGTAATTAGGAATAGAAGAATTAGCTTGAAGAGTATCAGGGAGAGACAGAGAGTATGGGAATGCACCCTGCCTTCCCTGAGAGAGGAAGATTCCCTCTTCCCCAGGGCTCAGGATTTAGAATCATAGAATGGCCTGGGTTGGATGGGACCTTAAAGCTCATCTCATTCCAACCCCTCTGCCATTGGCAGGGATACCTCCCACTAGACCAGGTTGCTCTAATCAATCAACTATCTGGATGAGGGGATGGGAGTGCACCCTCAGTCAGTTTGCAGAGGACACCAGGCTGGGTGTTGATGTGGTGTTCAGTGCACCCATCTCCTCCCAAACAGAACCCTAACTCTGCCAGCCCTGTGTTGTTCACAGCTGGCTGCCCCTGGCTGGTCATCACCGACTTCGGCTGCTGTCTGGCAGATGAAAAAGTTGGCCTGAGGCTGCCTTTCACCAGCTCCTACGTGGATCGGGGTGGCAACGGCTGCCTTATGGCACCAGAGGTAAGTCTCTCTGAAGTGGTGGTTTATGGTGCTGGTTTTCTGCTTGTCCTGCTGTTGGGACTAAAAGTTTTGGCTGCATAGAAGGTGTCCATGTCCTAACTGAAGTTAGGCTTGGTGAAACCTGGGCTGAGCATTGTCCAGCAGACACCTTGAGCTCTAACAGGTGAAACGTAATCAGTTGGTGTCTTTCCCCCCAAAATTTACTCTTTGGTCTTTATTCAGGCCCCTTCCTGTGTAACTATAAAGAATTATATCCAGCAGTCCTTGTGTTGCAACAGTGGTTTTTGGCTGAAGTTCAAGGCGGTTGCGAAATTATTTGCAGTTCCTTTTTATTTCTCTGATGATAACCCTAATAAAAGCCAAGACACCCTTAACTGTGCTGGACCTGGCACACCTTGCCGTGGTGTCGGTTGTTCATCTCCATGTCTCCTGTCTCCATAATTCCAGCAGGAAACAGCCCTTGGGACTCGGAGAATGCCAGTCAGTGGCAACTTAGGTGCAATGTCCAAACTCCTCCCAGCATCCCAGTGGGCTGAGCAGTGCCAGAGGCTTATTTCGTGCCAATGGGGAATATTTACACTGGAGATCTCCATGAAACCCGCCTTTGGTTTCAGTCTTTCAGTTTATTACAGGAAAAATGCTGATTTGACCATTGAAAATAAAATTTGAGCACAGAGGCCACACTCGAGCTGTTTGTTTGAGCATCCCCCTCTCTGTGGCAGGTGATCACAGCGTCACCTGGCCCAGGCACAGTGATCAACTACAGCAAAGCTGATGCTTGGGCTGTTGGAGCGATCGCCTACGAAATCCTGGGCCTGGCCAATCCTTTCTATGGCCACGGGGACTCGACTCTGGAAAGCAGAAGTTACCAGGAGGAACAGCTGCCGCTCCTGCCTGATCACGTGCCCCTCGAGGTGAAGCAAGTGATAAAGATGCTGCTTCAGAGGGATCCCAACAAGGTAAGACGCCGTTGTCTTCAAGATATGCCCTTTGGGAGTGTCATTTGTGGATTGTTTTGCCTTGGAGGACTGCGAGTGCAGGAGTTGATCCAGATCTCACTGCAGCCTCCATAAGGGTCAAATCTAAACAAAAAGTCTTTGCTGGGGGACAGTGGTGCTGAATCATTTCAGGGATTTCAGCAGATGTTTGTGTCACGACTGGACCTCAGATTGGGGGTTTCACTGAGCAGCCTGACATTAATAATCACTGAGAGTTTTTAATTGACAGAGAGTTTTGTCAGTACAGATGCTCTGTGCTGGTGATGTGACTGAGTGCAGAGGGATCAGCTAACCTTCCCTCTCCCTCCTCTTGCAGAGGTTGTCTGCGAGAGTTGCTGCAAACGTGCTTCACCTGAGCCTCTGGGGTGACAGTGTTGTAGCATCCAGGACCCTGAAACCCGACCAGATGATCGCCTGGCTCCTCTGCCAGTCAGCTGCCACCCTGCTCACCAACAGGCTGGTGGATAAAAGCCGGGTAGAAACCAAAATGAAGATGTGCTTTCTGGCAAACCTCGAGTTTGAAGACCTCTGGGCAGCAATATTCCTGTTGCTGGCCTGGAGAAGCCATTCTGGGTGAAGGAACCACCTGGAACACGAGCATTTCAGTTAAATGGCACTTTCTAAAGGCACATATAGGAACCTGTCCTTTCTGTCTGCCTGGAATCCTGTAGTGCTTTAGGGAACAAACTGCAGGCCTGTGTTTAAGAGCTTGAGTTTCCTCTAGCAAGTGTTAGCACACCCTGCTTTTCTCCCTCTGCTAGAGGAGATGCCCTTGCTTCCTTACTGTCTGGGTGGGAGGGCGTGTGGACCTTGCAGGTGTCCTGAGGTACGTGGTTGGTTTTGCTCCCATTTGGGAATTCTTTCTTGACTTGTGTGTTGAGTGGAGCAGGTTCCCTTTGAGATGGGGTGGGTGGGAGGAGGCACTGTCTGCCTGCACTTTACGTGGAAACATCACAACTTTAACAACACTCTGAGAAAGCTGAGCTGACAAAGGGATGTGCAGTTTCTCTGTTCTTGGGGAAACCAGTGGTGGTCTGAGGCTGCTATTCCTGTGAGCTGCAAAATGACAAGCCTGGAAGCTTCCTGGTGAGGTGCTGCCTGGTAACATGAGCGTCAGCAGCACTGAGTACCTCACAGTTGTACGCAGGATAGTGGAGGCACATCGTCCTCAAACCCCACTTGTGTCTGTTCTTAACTGTTGTAGTTATGTGGTGATGCTGCTGCAGGGTCCAAGGCTGAGTCAGAATGTCCAGTTAGGGATGGTGCTCCAAACAAAATGAGGCTAAGCAGCAGCACCTGCTTGAAGAGCTTAGTGTGATGCCCTGCTGTTTTACCTGCCTGTTTTTAATTCAGTGAAATAATATCCTTTGGTGGGGAGGACAGGAGACATCAATCTTTAAATAACAACAGCCATGTTTATGAAACAGCATTCAATTTTGTGTCTATAAATGTGTTTAGAGGAACTTGGGGACAAAGTTATTTACGCTTGTTGCACAATAAATTGAAGATTAAGCTCTGTGGCTGTGTGGGTTCTCTCAATCCATGGTGTCTTAAACAATTGTTCAGCTCTTTCCAGTGCTGACTGTGGAACACGGTATTTTATTCCAAGTGAGTTTCCCAAAGAGGAATGGACTTTGCTTGTGGATGTGCCTGTTTTGTGCTCTCCTGCATGGTTTATCTCTGGCTGCTCCTGCAGTTTCCAGGTGGAGGACAGCAATGGCTGATATCCCTGACCATCACGTGATAACGTTCTGCCAGGGTCCTGCACAGCATTTCATTTCAGCAAAGAGGGAATCACAGAAAACTGAGCTCTTTGGGGAAAAAAGTTGCAAAAAAAGACCTTTGTAATATTGATCTGACCCAACCTAAGTGGGTGCTGCTTCTTCTTACAATACTGAATTTTTGCAGTGTGTCTTTGCTGCCTTGGGTTTGTTTGTGCTCTCCTGTGAGCTCTGTGCTCAGGTCTGGCAGCGAGGCACATTCCCTGGTCACTGCCTCTGGAGCCTTTTGGAGAGTAAATACTGTCCCTGTGTGGTGGATCTCTGCTCTGAGCCCTCTTTCTGCTGTGAACATCATTCCCATGCCTTTCCCTCTCCCAGGTCTAGTCTCTACATGAGTAGGGAGCAGAATTAGGAGCTGGAGCCGTCTGATTTCAAGTGTGTTGTTATTCACCCAGCCAGGATTTAATCTGTGCTGGTCAACTCCAGATACTGGAAACTCGCTTGCCCTGGCAATCATTTCATCTCTGCCCTCAAAAACAGCCTAAAACGCTTGTCCCACAGCTTGTCCCTCTGGTCCTTAAATCCCTGTTAATGCTTCCCCTGTGCTTGCATTTTGTCCACCCATCGTTCTGCTGAGCTTGGACTTTGCTTTTGTTTTCTTTCCCTCCTGCCTTCCATTTTCATGACTCCTCAGCATTCTGGGTGCTTTTGTGAGGTGCAGGTTAAAAGTGCAAGCTGTTAATGCTACAAATGCTGCCATGCTATCTGTGAATGCCCGAGGGGAGCCAACTGGGACATTCCCAGTGCGTCCCCTCCTGCCCTGTCCCGCTAATCCCCGCACAGGCTCTTGGTGGAGGCGCTCAAGCCAAAGCCTCTCACTGCCGTGTTTGCTCCTGGTGTTTGCCAGGACTGTGCCATTGGGAAAGGGGGTGGCTGGGCTGGATCTCTGCCCTTCCCTGGGCAGTGGGATGTCCGGCTGCACTTTGAACCCTGGAGGGAGGCTTGGCGGAGGCTGCTGGCTCTCTGCCCACCCCTGACACTCAGAACCGACTCCACAGCACCTCTCGCTGTGTTCCCTGTGGGATAGAGAGTGGGAGTCTGTGGAGCAGGATGAGGCACCTGCTCTGGGCTGGCTGCTTCCAGCTGCTGCCCTGGCAAGCTGGACCCTGCACTCGCAAGCTGACGACTGCAGTGACCAGTGCAGTGGCTACCTCACACTGCGGCCCGTGGCTCCTGGCTCCTCTGGCCACCTCCAGCTCCTCACCCAGTGTGTCCAAGGGGTTCCTCCAGCCCCCCATCCTGGGGAGCAGGGCCCCTTGCTGCTGGGGCTCACAGTTCAACGTGCCTCCCAGTGCCCTGCTCGTGGCCCGGCCCGTGGGGGTCTGCTCCATGATGAGACTCCCCGTGCAGGCGTCGGCGCAGGGACTGGACGCGGCGTTTGTCGGTGTCCCGCTGGACACAGGTACATCCAACCGGCCGGGAGCCAGGTAAGGGTGAGCCGTGGGGAGCTGGTGCTTCGCTCTGGCACAGCTCTCCTCTGCTGAGAGGAGCTCTGCTGGGAGCTCTGCCCGGTGGCTTTTCCCAGCTGCGCCGTTCCCCAGGTTCGGCCCACGTCAGATCCGCGCGGAGTCGGCCATGGTGAGGAGGTACAACGGCAGCACCGGGGCAGCGCCTTTCGACTCCCTGCGGGTCGCTGACATCGGGGACGTGAACGTGAACCTCTACAACCTGCCCGACAGCTGCCGCCTCATCCGAGAGTCCTACCAGGAGATCGTGGCCTCTGGCTGTGTGCCCCTCACCTTGGGTAAGGACCGTGTGTCCACCTGCTCAGCCAAACTCCTCCTCTTCCTCCTCCCTCCCGTCATTCAATCCAAACACAGCAGAGGGTGAGTGATGCTGGACTGACTGTTCTTTGATGCCCCTTTTAGGTCAAAAATGATGAGGATGGGTCAGTCTGTAAATACAGTCAGTGACGTGTTTTTGGTGTCCTGCAGAACCACACCAGGACACATCCCTTGTGTCCATCCACCTGTGGGTGTGCCTGGCTTTGCATGAGGCTTCATTTGGGCACATGTTCAAGTTTGCAACTGTCACAGCTTGGCATCGCTAAAGGAAGAGAATGTGTAGAGTAACGAGGGGCAAATCACCAGTTACAGCATCCTCAGAAATGGATTATGTGTTTATTTATAAGCCCAGTCAAGGGTCCTGCTCCACTGGCTGTCCCTGCTGGCAGTCCTGCATCTCTGGTCCTCCCCAGGAAGAAAGAGGAGATAGGAAACAACCTGCACTCAGGAGCCTCAGGTTTTCCTTCGGGAATGAAGCTCTGGAGTGCATAAATAAATGCAGGATAAATGCAAGGAGGGGAAAAAAATTCCTGGGAACAGAGGTAATGAGTGCTGAGCAGCTCTTGCAGCGTGTTACCCCCTCTTCCCTGTTCTGCTGCAGGTGGAGAGCACACCATAACGTACCCAATCCTGCAGGCCCTGGCAGCAAAGTAAGTTTTTAACCTGGAGGTGTAAAATAAGGACCTGGGAAGCACCTCAGGAATGCCCCCGGTTTGCTCCCCACGCGGTGGGCAGGGCCACTACTGTGCACAGGGTGGGGACTAACGTGTGCACCCTGTCTGGAGCAGACACGGTCCCGTGGGCCTGGTGCACGTGGATGCTCACACGGACACCGGGGACACGGCCCTGGGGGAGAAGATCTACCACGGGACCCCGTTCCGGCGCTGTGTGGAGGAGAGGCTGCTGGACTGCAGCCGCGTGGTGCAGATCGGCGTCCGAGGCTCCTCCTACGACCCCGACCCCTACGAGTACAGCCGGCAACAGGTGAGGGGATCCACAGCCGGGCGCTGCCTGCCGTGAATAGGATTAGAATAATATGTAATAAATATATATAACATAATATGTATTAATTATAATTTTATATAATCCATATATATTTATAATGTTGTATAATATATACCATTATAAATAAATATATAAATATATAATATATAAATATACAATATATAAATATACAATATATAAATATACAATATATATTATATAAATATATAATATATAAATATATAAATGTATAGTAAATATATAAATGTATAGTAAATATATAAATATAGTAAGTATATTAAATATATATTTATATGTGATATGTTTATAATTTATGCTATGATTATAAATGCTATATATTTATAATAATATCCAGAAATTTGTATTTATAATTTTTGTATAATTTAAAATTTGTATATTTTACAATATTTATATAAGATACAGAAGATACAAATATATAAATAATATATAAATATACAAATATTCATAATATACAAGTGTAATATATAAATATAGTATGTAAATATAGAAATATATTTGATATAAATATATAGTAAATATATATTTTAAAGTACATATATATAAAAATACATATTAAAATGCATAAATAAAATACATGCTTTTTTTGCATCTTGTCCCACAGGACAACTGTCAGCTGGGTAGAGAGTAAAAAAAATGTGGAGAGGGAGTGGAAGGTGCTTCCAGGAGCACCTCTGCAGCTCGGCCCTGGGGCGAGGGTTGATCCCACTAGAAATGCCCAGCGGTGCAGGGGATGCTCCTCTTTTCCCACCTTTCCCTGAGCAGGTGCCCGTGTGTCTGTGTTCCTGCAGGGTTTCTGGGTTGTCCCAGCTGAGGAGTGCTGGATGAAGTCCCTGGAGCCGCTGATGGGGGAGGTGAGGGCCCAGATGGGGGACAAGCCCGTGTACATCAGCTTCGACATCGATGGATTAGACCCCGCGTACGCCCCGGGCACCGGCACCCCCGAGATAGCTGGGCTCACACCTGCACAGGTGAGGGGACTCCAGGGAATGCAGCTGCATTTCCCACTGGGAAAGGCATGTTTTTGCTCCCAGGTCATACCACCAGCACAGCAAAGAGAAGACTTAGGAAGGCCTGGGAACATTTCCTTATGTTGATGAGGAAGGGAAGCATGGAACTAATGAGATTTGGTCTGTAGAGGTTGGGTTTCCTTATATGAAAATGGGGAAAGCAGAGCCCTGACTGGTCCACCAGGTCAGATGTTTCTTGATCCCAAATCCATTTTTTTCCTAGGCTTTGGAGATTATTCGTGGCTGCAAAGGCCTGAACATAGTGGGGTGTGACCTTGTGGAAGTCGCACCAATGTACGACGTCTCTGGTGAGTCCAAAGATCTCGAGAGTAAAACGTGCCTGGCAGAGGCAGCCACGAGTGAAAGCCATTGGATATTCATGGATTTTTTCTTTCCCCTTGTTTTGTCTTTTTTTAGGTAACACAGCCCTCCTGGGTGCAAACCTACTGTTTGAGATGCTGTGTGTTCTCCCAGGAGTGAGGACACTGTGAGGGTAGTTCCTGCCTGCTCCAGGACAACGCTGCTCCATGTCCCCAGCCGGGCTTTCCATGTCCCTTTCCCCTCATCCAGCTGCAGCCAACGTGGGCTTTGCAGCACAGAATAAATGCCATTTTCCACTACTAAAGGTAATTTTAAGCTGAGAAGCTCTAGGGAGCAGATGGGTTTGAACACCCCATTTAACTGGGGTCTGGAGCTTTGAAATTGGTCTGGTAAAGGGACAGATGAGGCTAATAGTGTTTGGCCTCTGGAATTACTCACCCAGCTTAAAGGGCTCCTGGCAAAACTCACTGGTAAAGGGTTTCTTCCATTAGGATGTGGCAGCAAGACAATGACTACAGAGGAAGGGAGGGCAGCAAAGGGCATCTGGGGATCCTGCTGAGCATAGGGGGATGTTTGACTGAAGTTCCTGCTGGTGGAATCAGCAGGAGTTTCCTATGGCAGGAGTGGTTTAATCACTCCTGGAATTTCTGAGCTGACGTGGAGGTGAGGTTAGTTTGTACATGGAAACACAAAGCCACTTCATCACACATTAAAATAAGTTTATTTTGGTTGCGAACCTGTAATTGTCTTAAAACAAAATGACATAAGTGCCTGTTCACAAATACAAAACCAAAACCAAACCAAAACAAAAAAAAACAAAACAAAAACAAACAAACAAAAAAAAAATAAAAAGACAAGTTTGCCAAATAAGTTAATTCCCCCCCTCCCAGTATCAAAAGTGCAAAATAGGTACCTAGTTTTCAGTCCTACTTGTCAAGCTGCGCTCGTGTCCTGGCTCCTGGCTGCTGTGGGTGAAGGGCAGACAGGGGCAGGGAGGAGTTTGGGAACAACCTCCACTCCAGGGCCTGTGTCCCTTCTCCTCAGCTCCGAGCGCTGTGCCATCGCTCAGGTCTCACTAGGACAGTGCACTAGGACCGAATTTCCTCAGTCTTTGGATTATGAACCACCACGCATGGAACAGAATCACAGGGGTTAGAAAATGACGGGGGGTGAGGGCTCAGGGCTGCTGGGAGAGCAGGGGCAGATCCCGGGTGTCATAGTTTGAGATTGGTCCCCCTTGAGAGTCAGGGGCTCAGAGGTGACTGGGTGCCAGGGCAGTGTTCCCTGGAGAGCCAATCGCCACTCATGTTGTTTGCTTCTGCTGAAAACTCATAAATCACAGCACTGGAAGCTGCTGGCAGTTGTTCTGTTGGTGTCTGCTGTGTGTAGGTGGAGAAGGCCAGGGGGTGGCTGGGCTCCTTCTTCCCCCTCTCTGGGGGGAGAGGGGAGCCCTGCGGCCCCCCAGCTCTGCCTAGGCCAGAGTTAAGAGGCAGCATTTGGAGTGTGTGCTGTGAAGGAAGAGATTCACAGCACCTGAGGTAAGAGGGAGGAGGCCAGGCCCTCTTCCCCCTTCCCCCTGCAGCTGCAGGACACTTGGGACAGTGTATAACTGGACTGAACTGCCTGTGGCCAAGGCTAGGGGGCTTTTTTCTCCCACACACTGCATTGAGGCTGGTAGGGGGTGGATTTTAAGGCTCAGCATTAAAGCAGAGCCAAGTGGACAGGCTGCTGACGAAACAGCTCGGAGCCTGGAAATTGGATTCTGGATTTCTAATGTGGCTCAAACTGCCACACCGGGATAAGCAGCTCTGACCCTGCTCTCCAAGACAGCAAATACCTGGAGCGCCACACTGGCACTAAAACCGACTAAACCAGGGGTTAGGGCAGCTTGGCATTTGCTTCAACCCAGGAAAAAGGGTTTCCATAAAACAGAAACCAGGGGCTGTGCTCCCATCCAGCCAAACCCGGCAAGGGTGGACTGCTGCAAGCGCTCCTTCAACTCGACTCTGGCTGAAAGGGGAGGTTACCTGTGCTAAAAAGAAAATGAAAAAGGACTCTGGCAGAATTTGAAGGCTGTAAAGCCTTCTCTCCTTCCTCGGGGCAGGGCTGAATTCCCTTGCTGTAGCACAACTAGGCACTTTTTTTTCATGGATTGAGGCTTTTCTACTGGTTTCTGACCAGATGAAGAGACAGCAGAGACCCAGAGAGTATTCTTCTGCTTTTGCAAATGTTGAAGAAGTTATGTGGAGCCTTCTGGTGGGCTAAAACCTATTCCAGCCACATCCTGCATGGGAAAAGCACAGGAGTAGACAGCAATCGCTCCAGCCAAGTGAACATGAAGTCTAGAAGCACCAGGCTGGTGTTTTGTTCCCCCTCTGCTCTCCTTCAGCAGTTTTTGTGCACCTCAGAGTTCCTGGGCAGGGAGAAGACCCTGCCTTCTTTCCTTCCTTCCCTCTACTTTCTGGGGCACAGAGTCTGCTGGGCTGGAATTAATTAACCTCACATAGGGTTGGTTGGTAGCCTTTATCTGAAGTACATTTTACAGGGGTCTGAGGTACCTGCAGGGTTCAGAGCACACCAGTCTGCTCCCAGGATGGGAGGAATGCAGTGAGGCAAGGCTTTGGGAGCAACTAGGGCATGTAGGCAGTGCAATGACGAGCATTCCCATCTTCCTATGGGATCGGCAGCTGGCTCAGAGGTCGGCACTTATTCCTACTGACTGGCTGCTCTGCTAAGATGGTCACTAAGGTGGCGAGGGCTGAAATTGGAATTAACACCATGTGCTCTGAGGGCTCTGTGTCAGGTTCAGAGCCCTGTGGCAAAGGCCACCTGCTCCCATCCCAGCACTTTGGCAGTGCTGGAGCCTGACGGTGACGGGATCCATGGAAGGAGACCTGGGTGACAGCAGCGAAAAGGAAGCACAAGCCTCACGGGATTTCAGTCCTGGCCACAAAGAGAAGCCCTGCTGCCTCCCTTGATTGCTAGAAGGTTAAGCAGCCATGAGGCTGCTGCTTGCCCTCCCTCCACCTTACCCAGGACCACCCTTTCCCAGCAGTGTTGGAAGTGGCTGTTGGGGCACTGCTACAGCAAAGCACCATCCAAACCCTGTTCTAGCCTCACACAGACTTACAACTTCCAAAAGACAAAAAAAAAAATAAAATATCCAAGCAAACAAACACAAAGGCAAGGCAGCAGCCTGAGTGTGGAAAAACAGAGGTTTGGGGCAAGAAGGAAATGGGCAAGAGGTGGAAACGGGCGAGAAGCTGAAACCCAACATCTCAACCCCACACCTAAACCAAAAGGAGCTTCACACACACGCGACGGTCTGATGATACAGCACTTCTGGGGCAACATTTCAAGAATACAATCGTTGAAGGATGAGGTTCCTCGATACAAAGGAAGGTTGGTTTGTACTACAGTTGGAAGGGTGTTTGCAAGGAGCCCAGGTGACTCCCTGGCAGCTACGTAGAGGTTTTTTTACACATCTACTGGCTCATAGCAGCTTACGCCTACAATCTGAGGACGCAGGTAAAGTTATGGCTCTAGGATACATCGTCTAAAATCGACAGAAGCAGAAAAGGCATCTGAAAAATCAACGTGACATTTAAATGGCTCAACACTTTGACAGTATTTACGGCCGTGCAAAACCCTTTTCCTTCCCAGTCACGGTTCAGCCGGTGAAGCTGCACGTGGAACCAGGACACGAGGAGCATGAAACATGCAGGTCACCCACGAGCCCGCACCACAGGTGAGTCCCAGCTACAGGTTTGCTACAAGGGAGATGCTCCTGTCCGGACTCTACATCACTTACCACGGGGAAAGCCGAGGAAGTACAACTGCCTGGCGGGAGGAGGCCTTTTGGAAGGGCAGGGCCTGGGAGGGTCTGCAGGGTCTTGCCAGTGTTACACCATGCACTGCACCATGGGCTAAGCACACGGGGATGGGGAGAGAGAGAACCGCGACCCGACCTGCACCACTGGCCGCGGCTGGTCCGGGCCGAGAGAAGTCACAGGGTTTTTCTTCAACTGAGGTAAAACGAGAGATGGAACAGGGGTGACTTGGGAAGCAGATGTGGCAGGACAAGAAGGGAAAAACAGACTTCTTGGCTCTTCGGTAGGATGGCGTCCGAGCGCACGATGGGTCAGTGGAGGGCAGGTGGGTGTGCTTGGCTGCGCTCCCGGGCTCCGGACGTGGGGAGATATGTTTTAGTCTCCGGCCCCAGGAGGGTTCACCTAAAACCTAAGGTCCATTCATCACGCTTGTTTGTGTATTCCTGGAAAGAGCTGTCCTTTGTCATCTTCATAAAAAGTTTGTCCCTTAGAATCTCTGTAAAATCCCTCAGTCTAACGCAGGCCACGAGGGGATATAGAACCTCTGTAAGGAACCCTCTAGGAGGCGTTCCATCCAAAAGGACAATTTGTGTAATTTGTTTTTAATGGATCTAGATCCTGGGCTGCAGGAGGGTTTCCCTCTGGCTTCCGCGTGTAGTGAGGCATCGTAATCCTCGCAGGATCCCAGGGTTCCCCCCTCATCCCCTGATCTGTGAGGCTTAAAGAGGCAGAAATATTTCTTGTGGCCGTTCAGAGCCAGGACGTAGCCCGTGTAGTCGCGCTCCAGGAAGTGCTTGTCGTACTGGTTTGGGATGGGGGCTGCATCCTGTGCAAACTCCAGCAGGTACTCCAGCCACTCTCGGTGCTTGTCCAGGCTGAGGAAGGAGAAATGAAGAGAGCTGCTCCTGGGAAAAGAGCAGAGAAGACAGTGGGATTAGCATGTGTCTTGAGCAAGGCTGGATTCCTATGAACAGGTAAGGATTTGTCAGCAAGGGCAGGGCAGAGCAGTGTTGCTGCAGCTCCTTTTCCAGCACAGGTGATGCTTGCCCAGTGTGCAGCACTGTTGTGCTCTCTATCTGATGAAACATGGGTACAGCCAAAGTGGCAGCAGCACCAGTCCCATGTGGCCACCATCACTGAGTCTGGCCAGGAAAGGCCACTCGTTTTTTGGCAGCTCATTGCCACAGGTGAGCACAGAGGCTGCTCGCCAGAAATGTTTCCTCTTGGCAATGGAGCCAACCCTGCTCCTCCTTGTGTTGCCAGAGCTGCCTCACACAAGTTGTTAACACAATAACAGAAACCCAGGAGAGGCCCCAGCCTACCCTGTAAATGTGTAGACTTCCAGGGCGAACTTCTGGAGCAGGGGGGTTTTGGTCGAGTTGGACAGGATCAAGACGACGTTCATGTGGCCCGGCCTCAGGCGCACCAAGTTACTGGTGTAGTTGATGTCCGTTAGCTCAGTCACCTCA